TAGCACAAACAGATGCCACTGGGCTACACTAACACACGACAGGGCCAAATGGAGACATTACTGGTGCCCGCTCGAGCAAATCTATGATTAACGGGAAGTCAAGTGATCAAGTGATCAAGTGATCTGACACTTCTACATTTTATAAAATATTTCATACAGCATCCACGACTAAAGTAGATATTTGTCGATGTAAAACCATAAGTTAAAATAGTAAGTTGGCAGAACTAATAATTTTTTTCAATGAAGGTATTACTATTCTATCTTTAGAGACAATTAACTATATTCAAATAATTTGACCTAATTTTTTAAATCCATTATTGCAATTAAATACTGAATTGATGGATTTCTTTTCAATGACTAAACAATTTATACCAATTTCAAATTAATTCCACTAATGAGATTAGTTTTCTGCAATATTTTAAAATATTCTAACATGGATAGGTAATATCAGCACCAATGTATGAATACATTTGGATAAAATATTGATCAACATAAATATTTGGATATGAAATACTGAATAGTAAAATGTTTTGGAATCGCCTACACTACAGCCAAACTATGAAGAAACACATAAAACCAACCATCCTTTTACCCCCACTTTCCACAGATCCCAGACCATGGGACTGTTAGGATCTCCACAACATATGAAGGTGGCATCAAGGCACTCGAAGCCTCAACTGTGACCTGGGCACTTGAAAACATTGAGCCATCTCCTTGTACCTTCCTTGTAGGGGATCTCAAAAGTGGAACTGTCAAAATCACCTCAGCGCATGTGGGTGGCAAAAGGTCTTCAACTCTTGAGCTTGCTGGGAAAACACTAAGCCATTGAGGCAGCCTTTGGTCCCCAACCATCATTTATTAACACACACACACACACACACACACACACACACACACACACGGGGGGTGGGGGTAGAGAGAGTGCATTTCCTCTTTAGAACATCAGACACTACAATTTTTTATTTATTTTCTTAAGGAACTTGAAGTGTCACTTTACAGATTGGAGAAACAGGATGGCCAGCAGGTGCTTGCCTTGTATGTGGCAGACCCCAGTTCCATCTTGGCACCACCATGTTTTCCTGAGCACAGTAGGAGTGATCTCTGGCTGAAGAGTCAGAAGTAATTCCTAAACACCACTGTGAGCATGACACAAATTTAAAGAGAAAAAGAAAAAAAGCTTTAAATGCAATTAGAGAGAAACAAGACTAAACAGGCATCAATAGCCAACGGACAGAGTGAAAAGAAAGGGCTGGCCAATACTGAGGGGACTGGTCCTACTTAGACCATTTGAACATGGTGAAGCACCAGCTGCATATCAAGTGAAATTACTGCTCTAGAACCATCACAGAAGTGACTCCATATTATGACTACCCAACTGCTAGATATATGGTGCAAGGAACACTAGTTCTCCTCAGTCCAGGATGGTTCTGGGAAATCTGTCTCAAAATAAAACTATCATCCTGTGGAAAAATTACATCATTGGAGCATAGATATGCAGATGGAGCAGCCATACAGGAAGCCATATTAGGGCAATTATGTCCTAGAAATTCCCTAATGAAACAGAAAATGTATAAATTTCAGTCTTCTAAGGCTCAACTAAACATCTTAAATTAGAGGCACTTTTAGAAGAAGAAAAGTAGCAGATAAACCTTCCTGCTAAGGAACAATGCCCTGGAAACAGGGCTCCCCCTGGTCTAGCTATAAACCAGGCAATGGTGCCATCCCAATGACACAAGTTTCCAGACACTGGAACAGATTTTAGAAAGATCAACACCAGGAGCTGTTTTGGTTGGAAGAAAACCTATCTCTGAAATATTGCAAAGTAGCAGGCCACAGAGCTAAAGAAATGATGAGGATGTATATAGGACTTTTCTTGAAGTCCAGCATTAGAAATCACATGTGCTCTCAAAGATGCCAGGCACTAAACTCACGGCCTTTACATGGAGATAAGCTAACAAAAAGAATGCTTGCTTCAAATTATGACTCAAACCAAGAGGAAAGTTCTCTATTTTTAAAGACATGGATCAAATGCTCTTCAAATTTATATGGAAAAATAAACACTCCCTACACCCCACCCTAAATAATCAAATAAATCCTGGGGGAAAAGAAGATGGGAGGTTTTTCCTCATCCCAACTTCAAACTATACTATAAAGCTGTAATAATCAAAACAGTACACTAATGAACTGAGGATAAACTCTCAGACCAAAACAATAGAGCTGAGAGCTGAGAGTCAGATTCCCAGGTATACGGACAATTGATCTTTGATAAAGGAGCAAAAAGCGTAAAGTGGAACAAGAAAAGTCTCTTCAAATAATGGTACTGAGAATACTTGTCAGTCACATGTAAACTAATGAGCTCAGATGCCTTTCTAACACCATGCACACTGTAGAACTGTAGCACTGTCCTCCCATTGTTCATCAATTTTGCAAGAGCGGGCCCAGTAACGTCTCCATTGTGAATACGTCATGGAGAGCTTGCCAGGCTTTGCCGTGTGGGTGTGATACCCTTGTAGCTTGCCGGGCTCTCTGAGAGGGCAGAGGAATCGAACCTGGGTCGGCCAGGAAGGCTGCAGGCAAGGCAAATGCCCTACCTGCTGTGCTATTGCTCAAGCCCAACAACATGCACAGAAAAAAAAATCAAAACAGATTAAGCACCTCAACATCTGGCTTGAATTCATAAATTACATCAAGGAAAACACAGAACGCACATTAAAGCTAGAGGTGGCTTCAGGAATAAGACCTGAATACCACCAGGTGTGACCCAAAAAAACAAAAGGAAAAAAAAAAAACAGAGTACAGAGGTGATGTCAAGGTCATGGCTCAAGAGCACAAGTTTGATGTGTGCAAGGTCCTGGGTGGATCCTTGGAACTTTATAGTGTTCACCCAGACCTCAGCACCAAAGCCCAGAGTGGTACATCCTTCTCTCTGGCAAGGCACACAACAATCAACAACAAAAATATTCAAGAAAACAGAGGTATTCTTACATGAAGAAAACAAAACAAGGTTTGGAAATAGAGTTTGTAGGAGCAGATTTATAATAGAACAGTTTATTGTGAAATAATAAGTTTTTCAGTTGATGAGTCTAATTTGGGAGATGGGAGGAAAATAAAAAGTACTGGAAGTTTCAGAGAATAAAATTGTAGTACCAAAGGCTGTTTCTAGTTGGAAGTGGAATTGGGGTGTCCTGAGACCAATTTCCATGCCTGAGTGAGTAAAGTCTCCCCACAGCAATTAGCAACTTAAGACACAGAGGGTAGGGGCTGGAGCTATAGCACAGCCAGTAGGGTGTTTGCCTTGTACGTTTGGGTGAAAACTGACCCAGATTCAATTCCCAGCATCCCATATGGTCCCCTGAGCACCGCCAGGAGTAATTCCCAAGTGCAGAGCCAGGGGTAGCCCCTGTGCATCACAAGGTGTGACCCAAAAAGAAAAAAAAAAAGACACAAAGGGTGTATGAAAAAGTAAACTCAATTTAGCTCAATTTTGACTCTACACAAAGATACAACATTAGAATTCATTTTCCAATAAAGCCCTCTGCCTAGGACAACAGATTCAAGCCCAGGGTATTACCTGTGGTTCTAAACAACTGTCTTTAGTCATATTTCATGCCCACCCTACAGCCCCAACCAGGGTTGATTAATTAACTGGAATTGTTCTCAGACCTCAGGAAATCCTTTTACTTACTCTACCACCAACTTATTACAAAGGCTGTAACTCAGGAACACCAGATGAAAGAAATCCATAGAGTAAGGTAGGGGGGAAAAGCATGGCGCTTCCATGCCCCCTCCAAGCATGCCAATCTCCCCAGATCCCCACATGTTCACCAACTTGAGTCCCTCCCTTATGGACCTTCATAGAGGCTTCATGACCTATGCATGACTGTGGTAGCTCTCTGGTCCCTCATCACTCCCTAGAGCTCAGGGAGTAGGGAAAAAAAATTCCACCCCTCTTAGTCCAAGGCTGGTTCTTCTGGCAAGCAGCCCCCATTATTGAACACATCCCAAAATGTCATCTCATTAAAATAACATGAAGCAGCTTTATCACTTTCAACACCAAGGAAAATTGCAAGAGCCTGAGGATATGTGAGTCAGTAATTGTGGATAAAGATCTAATATGTGTTTCTTATGAGTCACAATCTGCAGAAGCCACACGACAAATTCCTGAGAGTAAAAAGAGCCACATAAACAGACATATCCCTGGCATCTTGCTTTATGCATCAGAAGGTTCTCTCAAGGGGCTAGAGAGAAAGTAGAAAAGGTAGGGCACTTGTCTGGCACATGGTCAACCAAGGTTCTATCCCTGGCACCTCACATGACCCCCTAGTCCTGTGAGGAGTGATTCCCAAGTGCAGAGACAGGAGTAAGTCCTTAGCACCACCAAAGGTAGCTCAAAATATGAAGAGAAAAAAAATAGATTAGAGAATGAGATAAGGGATTTTACCAATTAAATTAAAAGAACACAACCAAATCACTATATAGGAGTCCATGATACTAGGCTAAGTGATTGATGACCTTAACATTTCTATATATCCAATACTTAATGAATTATGAAATTAGTAGAAACAATATTAATTGATAATTTTTCAGTTTTAAATAGATAATGACTTTTTTTTTGCCTTTTTGGGTCACACCTAGCACTGCTCAGCGGTTACTCCTGGCTCTGCACTCAGGTATTACTCCTGGCAGTGCTCAGGGAATGCTATGGGATGCTGGGAATCGAACCAGGGTTGGTCATGTACAAGGTCTATGCCCCCATAATGATATTCTTTTTTTTCTTTTTTTTTTTTGCCTTTTGGGTCACACCCGGTGATGCACAGGCGTTACTCCTGGCTCATGCACTCAGAAATTACTCCTGGCAGTGCTCAGGGGACCATATGGGATGCTGGGAATTGAACTTGGGTCGGCCGCATGCAAGGCAAATGCCCTACCCGCTGCGCTATTGCTCTAGCCCCTCTTTAATTTTTCACTTGATAATGATTTTCCTTTTTGAAAAGACTCACCTAAGAGGACAAATCCATCAGCTTCTGTGTCTGGAACAGAAGGTTTTTTAGATTCTGGAGGCTTTCTGAAGAAATGAAACATGTCTGCTGCTCTCTGAAAAAAAAATATTAAGCATCAAATTCATATGAAACTGTTGAATTCTTACACTTTTCAGTTAAAAGTCATTCATAAAGATATCACAAAAATTACTTTTAAGAATTGTATTACCAAATTTAAAAATGAAACATTTTCTGGGCATCAGAATACAAAGCCATAAAATAACGTGCTTTATGGGCTTGTTTCCAGTTAAGAATCACATGTGCACTGATTCATGCAACCTCTCTCAGATTTATGAACTTATAGGAAATCACTTGCAAGACATCACCACACATAAGGCTAAAAATTGATATGCCCAGGAGCATTCTCACTAACTACATTAGAAACTGGTTTGAGGGAAAGAAAACTGAAAGTTCAGATTTTTGTCAATGCCATAACTATCTTAAACTCATTATCAAAGGCCACCTGGAAAACACAATGAAGCAACTTGGAACAACCTCTACCAAGTTATCTTACTCAGACACTCAAGAAATACTGCACCCTCTATAAGAAGTCAACTTTAAATTCCCAGCAGCACAGATCTGAGCTGACGAGATTACTGTATGCTATCCCTAAAAGTATAACATAAAAGTATAACATAACTGTCTTTTTATCAGTCTCTCCCTCTCTCTCTCTCATACACATATATACACATTCACTTGCATATGTACATGTATCGCTTTCTCCTTGCCCTCCACCTGTATAAATTTTGAAGAATGTGCAAATCCTAGGAAGCAAGTGGGAAGAAACTTGAAAGGAATTTCACAAGACATGTTGACATTGTAGACTTTCCACAGCAAAGCAGCAGAGAAACATTCCAAGCTAAAGCAAGGAACGCACATTTTAATTTTCATACATTCTATCCTTACCAGAAAGTGCAGAGAGTAAGCAAATAATCGAAGAAAAACTTTTTTAAAGACAAGAACTGTACAGGATCTATGGAAGTCAACCTGATCTTGAGCTGTAGATCCAAGAAGAGTATTAAGTATAATGCAAGTGGATGATTAAAAGACTATTTGCAGATTTAAAAAAAAAGCATAACTGGCAGGTTTCATTATTTTTCTTTTTTAGGACCCAGAGCGATAATACAGTGAGTAAGACACTTGCCTTGCACATGGCTGATCAGTCCATAGCACCGCCTATGGTCCCCAAGTACTGCCAGAGTAATGTCTAAGCAAAGATCCAGGAATAAGCCCTGAGAATCATTGAGTGTGGTCCATAAACAAAACAAAACAAAACAAGTGTCTTACTTTTTCAGGGGTACAGAGTTGTCTCAGGCCAACCCAGCAGTGCTCTGGTATTACTCCTAGCTCTGTGCCCACGGACTGTCACTCCCATATGTTCTGGGGGACCGTGCAGGGCCAGGAACCAAACTGGATTCAGTCACATGCAAGAAAAGCACCTTAGTCCCTATGCTATCTCCAGTCCTGAAAAGAATAAATAGAAAAGTATAAGTCAGTAAAAAAAGAAAAAAAATCTAATAAATAAAAAAGGAAAAGGCTATGAATTCCTCAAATGAAGAGATTACTTCTATTACTTACTGGACATAGTGATAGATCTAAAAGAAAGATCTAGAAATAGTTTGGCACTCTCAATATCATACAAGGAGATATGGTCTCTATGACAGTCATAAAAATCAAGAATACATTAAAAACACAGGCTTGAGCGATAGCACAGCGGGTAGGGTGTTTGCCTTGCATGCAGCCAACATGGCCGACCCAAGTTTGATTCCTCTGCCCCTCTCGGAGAGCCCGGCAAGCTACCAAGAGTATCTCACTCACATGGCAAAGCCTGGCAAACTACCCATAACGTATTCAATATGCCAAACACAGTAACAACAACAAGTCTCAAAATGGAGACATTACTGGGCCCGCTTGAGCAAATTGGTGAACAATGGGAGGACAGTGTGACAGTGTGACCAAAAAAAACATAAAAAGGCAAAATGAAAAGATGAGCTGCTAGAGAGATAGTACAGCAGGTAAGGTGCCTGCTTGCACACAGCTGACCCAGGTTCAATCCCTGGCACCACACAAGGTCTCCTAAGCCTGAACAGGGGTGATCCCTGAGTGATGAACCAGGCGTCTTCCCTGAGCACCACCAGGAAAGGCCCCAAAACCAAAATAAATACATAAATAAATAAATAAATTTTCATGCAAGAAGAATATCAGAAAAAAATAGGTTGGTTCACAGGCAGGAATGTAAATACAAAGAGCTTTGTCTTATGCTCAGGGATCATTTCTGGCAGGCTAGGGCCATATAGAAGGCTGGGGATCGAACTCAGGATGGCCAAATGCAAGGCAAACATTCTACCTGTTGTACTATTGCCCTCGTCTCTCTAATTCAAAGATTTATAAGACTCAGAGAGGCAATTTTTTATTCCAAATAATTAAAATTAAGACAAATACTTCTTTGGAGTAAGGACATTTAATTAAAATTCAAGATTAAGTAAGAATCAAATAGGAGTATAGTATAGAATCAAAATACTAGTATAATCATTCTACCCTTGTATTTAATCCATGGGGTGAATTAATGTGGTACTCAAAAAATTCTTTAACTTAGGACAAAATACTCAGAAAAAAAGAAGAAGTGTAAGTCTCTGACACCTTGTAGCAAGATATTTTTTTAATTTTATTTTATTTTTATAAAGTAGTTCACAATATTTGATTACTTTTAATATTTGAACACCAATTACACCACCATTACACCTTCCCGCCACCATATTTTAGATGTTTCCATCCCGAACCCCAATCCCTACTCCAAAGAAGAACCAAAGTAATTTATTTTGTACTGTTATGAATAAATCTCTGAAAATTGCTCAAAAAAACTTTACTTACAGGAGAGTGAGTGAAAATTATTATATTTCACACAGAAGGGCCATTAAGCCCTTCTATAAGAGATTACTAATATGTTGTTAAGGATTGAGCCTTATATGTGCGCGCGCGCGCGCGCGTGTGTGTGTGTGTGTGTGTGTGTGTGTGTGTAATGTGGTGCGCTACTCTTGGAGTATGAGTGGTGTGAGATATGAGATGTCTCACGGCTGTGAATGAGGCAGTGTGGTCCAGGAATAGGTTCATCCGTGGGTGAGGCTCGGCCCAAGCATGTGGAGAATGGCTGTGAGCATGGCTACAGAAGAGTTCTGGAGGTTTTCGGCTGCTAGGGTTGGGTCACTTGGGGCAGGGAGGGACCTCACCCACCCCTCTCTGGGGCGACCGAATGAAACAGCCTGAGTCAAGATATTCTTCTTTTTTTTTTTCTTTTCTTTTTGGGTCACATCCAGTGATGCACAGGGGTTACTCCTGGCTCATGCACTCAGGAATTACTCCTGGTGGTGCTCGGGGAACCATATAGGATGCTGGAAATTGAACCCAGATCAACTGAGTGCAAGGCAAATGCGCCCTACCCGCTGTGCTATTACTCCAGCCCCCAAGATATTCTTAAATAAATAAAGTAAGGAATGAACAGAGGACCAAAAAAGATGAGAAATATTAAAAATCTAAAAAAAATTGCCTAGCAAAAATTGTAGGACATGTTTTTCACTGATGAAGATGACTGGAATCAAACAAAGAAATAAACCAAAGTTTTGAGAGCTATACTACCAAAATAACTATTAGAAGAAAACAGTGATTGATTCTTTTTAAAAATCCTATAAACACCAACACAGAACTGCCAAAGAAGTCTGTTCAGATGCCTAGAAGACATATTCTCTGATGCCATCTTCAAAGGTAGTCAGAGAAATTACTGAAAAAGGAAACTATCAAAAGGATGTATCCTTTGGGCATGGAAGACAGATTAGGCCTTCCTTAGACTATCTAAAGACTGTTCTCCAACCTAAAGCAGGACCTTGTTAGTAGGATTTCAGAGGCGCTACTGATCTCTGACTGTTGTATATCTCCCATCCCTTGTCTTTCTAAATGGGATTGGTGTGGGGAATTACCTCCTCCAGTTCTACAGGGTTAAAAGGAGGAGAAAACAGAAAGGACAAATTAATTATATTGTTAAAGTTTCCTGATCAAAGGAAGCCACAGCTGGACCTGATGAGGGGACTTTTGTACATCACCAGAGATGATGAACTTTGAACAGGATGACATGACTAAGTATGACAATCTGGATTACTATTCTGGGGAGCTGTAAATTATTTTCTATACCTTAGAGAGTAGAGTATATGTTGGCCACAAATGATCAACAGGAAATCTCTATGTTCATTCACAAGCTGTTAACTGGCAGTAAGAGGACTGCTATTTTCTTCCCACAGGGGTATGTTGTTTTCTACCCACGCGTGCTATTGGTTTCTGAAATAACTAACAAGATTAACAAATCCATAGCTAGATCCACAAGGAATAAAAGAAAACACTAAAAACAGTATCAAAGATGGAATAGAAGAAAATACAACAGAAATTACAACCTCAGAAATACAAAGGACCATAAGAGGTTACTATGAAGAATTATATGTCACTAAGTTGAAACACCTAAAAGAAATTAAAAAAAGCGTTTTTTTTTTTTTGGCTTTTGGTGGGGGGTCACATCCAGTAGTGTTCAGGAGTTACTCCTGGCACTGAGCACAGGAATTACTCCTGGTGGTGCTTGAGATGCTGGAGACCAAACCCAAGTGAACCATGTGCAAGGCAAATGCCATACCTGCTATAGTATCACTCCGGCCCCCCAAAATTAATAAAGTTTTAAAATAATTCCTTAAAATACCTTTAACAGTTGGTCAAAACTGACCCTGAGTATTACAAGTAAGGAAACAAAAACAGTAATTAAAAAAATCTTCATAAACAAAAGTTCTGGTCTAGATAGGTTCCCTATCAAGTTCTACCAAACTTTCAAAACTATACCTATACTCCTCAACTCTTTCAGACTCAAAGAAACAGGAATACTTTGTAATAACTTCTATGAGATCAAGAATAGTTAATACCAAAGACAGAGATATTACTAAATAAGAAAATCACAGACCAAAATCTCTGTAAAAATAGGTGCAATGAACCTCAACAAAAACTTAGCTAATCAAATTCAACCAA